TCACCACCGATGCCTGCAGCACCGGTTCCTTGGGCACCGAGAGCGCCTGTGCCAGTTGCTCCGGCGTTTAGGCCACCATTGAGGCCGCCGTTAAGTCCAGCTGAGCCACCGATACCACCCTCACCGCCAACTCCTGCGCCGGCTGAGCCAGTCAAGTCGGGAGAAGAAGCAGAGTTCGTGGGTGTACCAGGAGCGGCATCAGCGATCGAGTCACTAGGGCTGGACGAGGGAGCAGAGTCGGAAGGAGATGCGTTGGCTGAGTCCGAGCCGTAGGTAGGAATGCTTGAGGGAGAGGCAGAGTCGGAAGGCGAGCTAGAGTCAGATCCCGATGGGACAGGGGTAGCCTGAGCAGCATCGGTGAGATTGTCGCTGAGAGATGCGGGAGCGGACTCGGCAGGGGACGAGGGAGACGAGCCCGAGGGAGACGATCCAGAAGGAGACGAGGCGTCAGAGCCTGAGTTTGAGCCGTAAGACCCGGCGCCGTAAGTTGGGGCGTCAGTTCCAGTGGGAGAAGCAGCTGAATCAGTGGCTACGGGAACATCACTTCCGGCAGGCGAACCAGCAGATTCGTTAGGAACAGGAGTGGCCTGAGCAGCGTCGGTCAAGTTGTCACTGAGGACAGCGCTCGAGGCAGCGGGAGTGGATTCAGCAGGAGCAGATTCAACGGGAGCAGACTCGACAGGAGCAGGGGCAGAGGGAGACGAGCCCTCGTTGGATCCTGAGCCGTAAGAGCCAGCACCGTAAACAGGGGTATCAGTTCCAGATGGCGAGGCAGCGGAATCAGTGGCGACTGGAATGTCAGTTCCGGCAGGCGAACCAGCAGATCCGCTAGGAACAGGAGTGGCCTGAGCAGCATCGGTCAGGTTGTCGCTAGGAACAGCGCTCGAGGCTTCGGGAGCAAGAGATGAAACACCGGCAGAGTAAGCGCTGCTCCAGGTGAGACCAGCGCCGGTGGGCTGGGCGACGCCTGAAGGCACATTGGTGACGGTAACAGCAGTGGGGATCAGAGTGGTCGAAAGAGAAGATGCAGGGCAGTTTGTCACGTCCGCAGCACACGAGGTAACGGTACCGACGTGAGTGCTGTAGAGAGTGATGGTGATGGGGCCAACAGAGGTAGGGACCGGAGTATCGGGACTGGCATCAGACGAAACTGGGACAGCGGTCTGCCAGTTGCTGGGGTACCAGACTGAGGGCATCTGGCCAGAAGGAGCAGCAGCGCCGGCGGGCATAGTCGAAGAAGCGCCACCAGTAGCAGTGCCCCAGTACTGACCGAACGAGGGCATGTTGTTGGGTGTTTCATCTGTGTTCGGGGGAGGAGAAGGCATGGGCACGACAGTCGAAGTCTGGGGAACAACGACAGTGCTACCGTAGGCGGGGACACCCTCAGAGGCAGCTGGGACACCTTCCGAAGAAGGAGGAGATCCAGAATCGCCGTTGCTAGGCACGCCTTGAGAAGCAGCAGGAACGCCCTCAGAGGCAGCAGGAGTGGTCTCGGGAGTACCGTTACCGTTGGCAGGGACGCCCTCAGTTGCGGCAGGAGTGGCAGCGGGAGAAGAAGGCATGGCGGCATCGACATCTGAGGTAGATTGAGCGGCGGGAGTAGAAGCACCGTAGGCGGGAATACCCTGGGAAGCAGCAGGAACGCCCTCAGAGCCAGCAGGGACACCTTGAGAGGCGGCGGGGATACCCTGAGAAGCAGCAGGGACACCCTCCGAAGAAGGAGGAGATCCAGAGTTGCCATTAGCAGGGACACCTTGAGAGGCAGCGGGTACACCCTGGGAAGCGACAGGGACGCCCTGCGAAGCAGCAGGAACACCCTCCGTGGCAGCGGGAGACGAGGGCATTGCGGCATCGACACTGGTGCTTGAAGCGGGGGCAGTGACAGTAGCTTTGTTGGTGATAGTCGAAGTAATGACGCTAGGAGCAGTCAAAACAGTGGTAGAACCACCCTGACTAATTGTGTGGCCAACTGGGCACGTGGTGACGGTCTCGGAGACAATGTCAGTCACGTAGACGACCTCGGGACCAGAAGCACCCATGGTGGTGGTACCAGTGACGGCAGGGACGTTGGCAGACGAAGCGGGAGTGGAGGGGCTGTAGTTGCCCTCGCCGAACGAACCAGTAGGCAGGCTGGTGATGGCACCAGAGCTACCAGGGGCGGCATTTGTGGGAATACCAGTGGCGTCGACATCCGAAACGGACGAAGGCGAAGCACCACCGTAGTTGCCACCAATAGGAGCGGACGAGGCAGCGGCGTCAGTCTGTACCGATGGGACTGCTGTACCAGCAGCAGTCGTAGTCATGTAGTGAGTGACGTGCTCCGTAATGGTGTGGGTGCGGGTCTGAGTAGACCACTGGGTGATGGTCGAGGTCGAAGTCGAGGGCTTGCCATCAGGAGCACAAGGGCAAGTGTTGGTATCACGCTTGTTGTTCCAGGGAGCGGCAGTGGTCAGACCGAAATAGGCCGCCAGATACACATAAGTGCTGGGCTTCATCTTGGATGAAAAGCGAAGCAGTCACTTGTATCGGTTTGCTGTCGATTAGATATGAACGAAGGACTGAAACGATCGGTGGGCGAACAAAAACAGAAACGAGGGATTGCTTCAGAGCACAGCTCTTGATTGGCAAAGGAAAGAAAGACGAAAGACGAAAGACAAAACTGAACTGATCCAAAGAGTACTGAGAGCAGGCAGGACGGCATGCTTTATACAGAGGGTGGACAGCAGGTTGAATGCATCGCCACGCAAATAGTGGGTTGAGCTGCTACAGGATTAGCAGCAGAGCACCGATCATACCAGTCTTTGATGATATTAAGGATTTTGACAGGTCTGCGACGACTGTGCTGACATGCCAGTCCGGATGAGGATGAAGTGTGAGGCGAGACATTGCAGACGACTCATGGAGTAGTCGAGGTGGGGTGATGCTCGACGATGCAAGAGGTAAGAAGTCTCGTAATGGTTAGACGGGAAGGGGCTTGGTTAGCAAATTAGCCTGTCTCAAAGCAGAACCTCACAGCAGTTGTGACGAAAAGAGGGATAGCGATCGACAGTCTCGAGTCCGCTCTGGCCTTGTGGATATGAAACTGGCCTAAGTACTCCACAAACCCCAGTTCGCGGAAGACGGTGGTGCTTCTTCAGTAGTATGTTGGGAAGCTCGGCCAGGTTCATGCTCGGCCGTTGATCGTACAACGAAATTGCGTTCGTGGACAGACACAGTGCCTGTCTTCAACAGCCAGGCGTGAAAGGTGCAACAATGTAAACTTCGGCGTACGAGGCTTCGGTGAACGAGGCTTCAGCGAACGACAACTACCTGCAGGCTTCACCAGCTTCAGAGAGCCATGACAGCTCGAGGATTCAGGCCACCACGGAAGGCACGGGAGTGCAGGAAGGATGGCACGGATAATTGATGAAGTGTCTGGAGTCTGTGCGTGAGGCGGTGTTGAAACTTGTGCCTATTTCTGGCTAGATCAAGTGCTGGCAGATATTTGCCAATACAATAAGAGCGAGATTACATGATTGAAAACTGCGTGGCCATGCACATTGCCCATTACTGTAAGATGAGTCGCGCGTCGCGATAGCAAGCGAGATGGACAGCACGTAAAGGTGTTTAGAAGTCAGAATAAAGTGCTGATGTTGTGACACGCATCGAGGAAGGAACGACGTGTGATCGCCGGTGCAGGCGTCGGAGGGCGTCGGGCCGGGGCCATATTGCAAGCCGACTGGCCGAGGAGATTGGCCAAGAATCCGGCTCAAACTGCCTCGTACCTGCATCAGGACGATTTCTGAAACACCTCCTCCCAAGAGGCCTTCGTTTCAGCTTTTGAGCACTACTGGCGTCTGAAGCACCAGCTCAAACCCTTCTTTCTGCTGCGATGTGCTTTTTTCGCCATCGACCCGACGCCATATTGTAGGAAGGGCGCTGTTCCCGCCGACCGAGATTTCAATAAACTTGCGATGTACGATCACACACCCGAGAGTGCCTATTTCCCGGTTATGGAATAGGAGACTTCATCTCGAATATTCGACCTTGCCATGACTCTGTGCATAGAAACAGCCAGTGTCTTCCTCGAGCCAGACTCATGGATCAGGTGGATCGGCTTTTCGTTGCTGCACCTCTCGCACTTCGACTGTTTCTCCATCGTGGCAGTTCTGTTAACTTGCTCATTCGGAGTTCGTCATGGCCGCAGATCTTGTCACAGGTTTGCTCCGGAATTTGGTTGACCACCAAGGGCGGCTCGACTTTTGTCATCACCAACACTGAGGGTGCTCCAGATGGCATGCATTATATTGTATCATCGCCGAGAGATCACCTCCTAGCGATGTCCCGTCCACCCCACCATACGAATATCCAGCTGATTGAGATCATGATCTTCCTCCTCCAACTCCTTGTCCACGACAGATTACCCGATCGCCATGCCAGCCATGCACCTTCTCCTGTCCAGTCCTGTTTTCCACCGATCACGCCGTCATGCTTGCCCAGGTAGGCCGTTGTTGCCTTCTGCTTGTACTCAAACACCTTTGCTGCAGCGCCTCTAGCCTCGTTGTTGAGTTCACGTGTGAGGTACTCGCCTTTCTGCAGGGCCGCCTCAGCCAGAGTTGGAAGACTGTAACCTTCGATATCTGCCGCGTCACCCAAAGCGTAGGTTCCCTCGATCGGAGTGCCATCAGGTCGCAAAACACGCAAATGTTTGTCCGTCAAGATACGAGGCATGCCCTTCTCGGTCTTTTTGACATCCAGATTATCGAGTAGAGAGTTCGCTTTGTTACCAGTGGCCCAGACGAGCATCCCATACGATAATCTGCCGTCTTCCTTGGTGTATATGGCGTCCTGCTCTACTTTCTCGATGTGAGAGCTGGTTTTGAGCTCGACCTTCTTCTTTTTCAGGGACTTGGTTGCGTAATCTCCAAGCTTGTCGTCGAATGTTGACAAAATCGTAGGCGCGACATCGTGAATGACTATTGACAGCTTGCCGTCCAAGTGAGGATTGAGAAACCTCATTTCCTGATCCCAGAGGTCGTATAATTCTGCTGTAGCCTCGATGCCGATCGCTCCTCCACCGACCACTCGGATGGTGAGAATATCCCGTTGTTGCTGCTCAGTAACGCCAGGTAAGGAAGCTGCATCCAGAATCTCGAGCATTCTCTGCTGAATAAGACGAGCATCATTTGTCGTCTTCAAGAACAAGGCGTGCTCCAGGGCGCCAGGTGTGCCAAAGGTCTGAATATCACAACCAGGCGCAATCACGATCTTGTCATACGAGACATCGTATTCTTCGTTTTTGAGTTCCGACACTGATGGTTTACACTTGATGATGCGCTTCTCCAGATCGATGCTCTGCGCGACTGCTTTGTGGTATTGAACACTCGGCCTGCTACGTCGGCGGACAGGCTCCTCAGCCAGTCGGAAGTCGAAAAGGCCACAAGCTGCACTCGCAAGCAGTGGTGTGTATTGGATTGTTCGAATAGGCGAGATGATGATGACGTCGTACTCTTCAACGTTCAATTCTTGCGATAGGACAAAGCCGGCCCAGCCACTTCCGATGACAGCCACGGTAGGTTTCGACATGATTTTGTGATTAGTGAAGATATAGTATCGTTTCGAGCCAGGGAAATCGGGTCTTATATCTGATCGTGTCTATCGAATGTCGACTGATGTCATTGCTATTTCGGTCGTTTACCTTGTATTGGTCATTGATATCCTTGTTCTTTGCCGAGATACGTCAGATCTAGCGCCAACGAGGTTCATACTCCTTTGATGTGCCGCGCTGTCTACTGACGAAGCAGTCTGCCTTTTGAGAGGCGTGCATATTGTACAGCAAGTATGTCAGTCAGATGACCTACTCGAGCACTGTCAAGGAACCTGGAATAAATTCTTCCGCAACAGCGCGACATCGCCTACTCCTCAGATAAGGGGTGGTCTAGCGCTTGTTGCTCGATATTCGTGCCTTTGCCCTTATATGAAACTAAATGGTTCATGGAATATCGGCCTATCAGGACTTTTGGTTCGATGCAAAAACAGAATCAAAAACAGTTGCGATCGAAACAGAAGATGGCAGCTTCGACGCGGTAGAATTGCCCGAGTGTTGACGTCATTTAAGCTTATGAAAAGATTGCGATCTTGTCTGTGGTGTTCAAAATCTGGTGAACGCGAAGGAGAGGACTGCATTAGAGTGTAGGATCGTGTGAATGGTATTAGTGGTATTCTGTTGAATCTTTGCCAGTCGCAATCGTTTCTAATGCATAGCTAAAATCTGATCATTTCAAGTCTTTAGGACTCCAATTCGGTGGATTCTATTCTCGTCTCTCAGAATTGGCTGGCTCTAAAGGACATTTTCGTAGTTTGACAGCGCCACAAGCATAAATTCAAATCTTTACGTTGTGTGTTGTTGAGTCCATATGCAAGGTGTATACTAATGCTGTAAAGAGTTCATATAATCGTCTGTTGCGACTGTTATCGATAAAATCAGAATTTTGATTGTTGCTACATGTCCAACCCTGACCACAGCCAAGATCTGCAAACTCGATGTCTCTTATCGATTAGATGCTCGAGGTCAGCCAAGTCATGCGCATAAAGTTATGAAGTCAACCAAGCCTCTATTTATGCTTATTCGGTCTACATCTGATCTAATCCTCTTTATGCTTGCGATGTTAAAGCTGTGTGTCTATCACGCAACCCAACCGCATCAACACTAGCAGAAGAAGTGCTGAATGCCGAAGTCGAGGAAGGCATATCATGCACTGCAACATCGTTCTCACCTCCGTTCCCCGAATTGCATCGCGTCCTCACCGACATCTTCTCCAGCAACCAAGGTCGCAGATTGTAGTACCCACCACAAGCAAAAATACCCAGCCAAAGCGTCAACTCAACGCCATAAATAACAATTCCCAAAACATCAAGATGAGGCTGAAAGAAGACTGAAATCAACGAGGTCAGGTCTCCCAACGCATCGAGAAAGCAAAAGGTAAACGAAATACCCCTCACCGTCCTATGCGTATAGATATCCCAATAATGCGCCAAAACACCACAAGCAAGGAACAGCGCCGCCAACACGGTCATGAGAGTCTTTGGCCATTCAACGCCCTTAGTCGCACCCTCTCTCAATGCGAAAATCAAACCTATCTCTATACCAGCCATGCAGCACGCGATAGGTACAACAACGCCCAAACTGCGAACCACTGACCACTTTTTCTCGTAGTAGTAGACTTGGATCCAGGTGAGTAGGGACAGGAAAGAAAGGATTTGAGGTTGGATTTGGAGGGCGAGGTTGAAGGAGGAGGTGATGTTGTAGATGCCGAGGGGGACGCCTGCCCAGGCCCAGAACATCATCATGGAGGGCTGGAGGCCGGTTGCATTGTGGCGGCGGTAGTTGATGATGATTTGGGGTATTAGCTTTGAGTGAAGTCAGTCATTGTCTCGTCTGATCTTCATGAGAGTTGAGCAAATGAAGATAGAACAAGCTGTGATCAGGGCATATTCTGCTTGGATGATGGAAGTCGGAGAGAATTTGCATGCCTGGATAGACCAACATAGCTATAGACAACGAGGGTCAGAATACTTGTAGTGAGTTAATTTGGGTGGAGCAGGACATACAGCTCCGATAGTGCCGAGCACGTTAGCCGCGACAGGGACATCCATTGACCAAGTACAGTCACTGTCTGGAATAGTTCTACTATGATCTAAGAGAGCATTACTTGAAAGTGAATGCAAATGACTCTTGGAGCGATATAGAAAGGCGCGGAAGTGCTTGTAGGAGTGCGGGTGATGTGATTGGCCGAGACGGCAGCTTCTCCGCAAAAGCGAGATGAGTCTAAAATTCACCCGTCGTCGAGACTCGAGCACGGGTGTTTTGGTAACGCTGGCTTCTTTCTCCCCTTCCCCCTTCCAGCAGTCGCAACCTCTGTACAAGCACAAAATGGCCGATCTCGCAACACCGTCAGCCGCCACCATGAGCACCATTGATGCCGGTGCCACGAAGCCTGCCTTCACCAAGCCTGAGAGACCCGACCAGGCCGACTACGACAAGACCCTCGCCGAGGCACAAAAGGCCCTCGATGCTGCTGTCGAGAGACAGGCAAGTCTAGTCTTGAACATCAAGACTTGCCGATGAGAACTAACAGATCCCCACAGAAGTCGATCAAGGCCAAGCTCGACTCGCGCCCCAACAACAAGGAGTCCCCCGAGGCCAAGAGACAGCAGGAGCTGCGCGCACGACTGAACGAGATCCGCGAGGCACAAAAGTCGGGCAAGTCGAGTCGCGCCCAGCAAATCGGTCAGATCCAGCGTCTTGATGAGCAGCTCAAGTCGCGCATCAACGAGCAAAAGACTGCCCGCAGCCGTGTCGCTTTCCGCTCCGTCGATGACATCCAGAACGAGATCAACCGTCTCCAGGCCCAGGTCGAGACCGGCACCATGAAGATTGTTGACGAGAAGAAGAACCTCGCTGAAATCACCGCCCTGAACAAGCAGAAGAAGGGTTTCGCCGGCTTCGAGCAGGCCCAGAAGCAGATCGACGACCTCAAGGCCCAGATCGCCGAGATCAAGAAGTCCATGGACGACCCGGCAAGCAAGGCTCTCTCCGACGAGTACACCAAGATTACCACCGAGCTTGACGAGATCAAGGGCAAGCAGGACGAGGTCTTCAAGAACTTGAACCAGCTCCGTGACGAGCGCACCCGCGCCAACGAGGCCCAACAGGTCGCATACACCAACCTCAAGGACATCAAGGACAAGTACTGGCAGGCCAAGCGCGCCTTCGCCGAGTACGAGAAGGAGGCATACCGTGTGCGCAGAGAGCGCCAAAAGGCCGAGCGTGATGCTTACGAGGCCGGCAAGCGCAAGCAGGTCGCCGAGGCCAAGCTCGAGGAGGCCAGCGCCCCTGCCTACGGTGACGAGATCCAGACCGCCCAATCCCTCATCCGCTACTTCGATCCTTCATCGCAAGAGGCCAAGGCTGCTGCCGGTCCTGGCAAGTTTGCTGCTCAGGCCAGCCGTACCGTCGAGGCCACTGGCTTCAAGGGCACCGCTCTTCCCCGCAAGGGTGAGGCTGACGAGGATTACATGACCGGCAACGGTGGCAAGAAGGGCAAGAAGAACCGCAAGAACCAGAACGCCTCTCCCGCTCCTGAAGCGCCCGCCGGAAAGTTCAACCTGTCCTTCGGTGTCATTGAGCAACTCGCCAAGATTGACGTCCAGCCCCCATCATCGCAAGCCGGTGTCGCCAGTGTCGTTGAGCAGATCAAGTCCAAGCTCGAGAGCTGGCAAAAGGACCAGGACCGCAAGACCCAGGAGGTGAGTAGTTCATTCCATCGATAATCTGTGCAACGCTAATATTTCTCTCAGAACGTCGACAAGGCCAAGAAGGAGATCGAGCGTCTCGAGGCCGAGACCGAGAACTCCACCGAGGGTGTCGCAAAGACCAACGGCAACTCCGCCGACAACATGGCCGCCGACCTCGAGAAGACCAAGCTTGACGAGACCTCCTCGTAGAACAGTGTTGTCCATCTAACTTGCATCTCTCTAACCAGTGGTTCCAAAAGTTGTGCTTTCGAAAGAGGATATGATTTGAAAAAAGATTGCAGAGGAGAGAGATAGTGAAAGAGAAGAACAGAAAGGTGATTTTTGGAGAGAGACGAGGATCCTCAAATCTTTTTGAAAGCGGCGGGTCACAAAAATGTGTTTTTTCTTACACGCCTTCTTTATTACATTTACATCCCGTTGAGCGTTCAGGGATTTTTGTTGTCATTTTCCACTCTCTGTCGTTTCACCAAAGTTGTGTCATGTTGTGTTACAGACGAAGAGCTGATCGTGAGCAGGGATCCCGACTCGCTGATTCTAGTCGCGTGTCACACCTTGTTTGCTGCTAGCCGCATTCTCGCCTAGGCATCTCTCTCCGTGACACCAAGCGTTATTCAACACTTGCGACAAGGCAGCAGAGTCTTGATCATTCCGACTCTACTCAGAAGCTTGGCAGTTCACCTCATGAACCCAAGAGCCTCGGTATACTCATGAAGTCATGCAGGTACCACGACGTCGTATCAATACCCCGCATCCCCATCGACCATCCTTCTCCGCACTTTAAAACAACGACCTTTCGCCAACCATCCGAGGATAGACGATAGCTTCACCTACCAAAACCTCGATCTAGAGCCCTGCTCTCACCTTTCCAAGATCTTTGAAAAAGTTACTCAAACACACCGGAAAGACGACTGGAAAAGCCAGTGATCCCTACCAATTCCAATCCCAGTATCGACCAAAAAGACTAGAAACAAATATATATATATACAACCCAAAACGACAATGCCTTTCGAATCACCCCACTCGCCAATATCTCTACCACCCAACGAATCAATCTGGTCCTTCTTCTTCACCTCCCCCCACAGCCCACAGCCCACTATCCACAACCTCTGCTTGCACCCCTCCATCAGGCTACCTCGACGCCAGCACCGGCGCCTCCCTCTCCTACTCAGCCGTAAAGCAAAAAGCCACCGCCCTCTCCACAGCTCTGATACGCAATCATGGTTTCAAAGCCAACGACACCGTCATCTTGTTTTCCCAAAACTCGATTTGGTATCCGGTAGCCATGTTTGCGGTGCTCAGGGCTGGAGGTGTGGTTAGCGGCGCCAGCCCTGCTTATAATGCTGAAGAGATGGGGTATGCATTGAGGACTTCTGGGGCGAGGTTTGTGATGACGCATCCTGAGAGGTTGGGTGTGGCTGTTGAGGCTTGTGAGGCTGTGGGCTTGGGTAAGGAGAATATTTTTATGTTGGAGGGAGGGCAAGAGGGTTTCGCAGGTGTGCAGGAATTGATTAAAGAGGGCGAGAAAGGTAAAGAGGTGGATGAGTGGATGGGAGCAAAAGAAAAGGGGAATAAGAACGTATGTGCTTTTTTGAGCTTTAGTTCTGGCACCACTGGAATGCCCAAGGCTGTGAGTTTGTCTTTCTTTACACTACTCCGAGAGAATCGATCCTAACGAGACGCAACAGGTCATGATATCCTACCAAAACCTCATTGCACAATGCCTCCAAATGCTGACCATAACACCAAAACTCGAACGCGTGCTCGCCGTCCTCCCTCTCTTCCACATAACCGGCTTAGTCCACATCTTTCACCTCCCCATCCTCTTCAACGCCCAAGTCATCATGCTACCTTCCTTTTCAATGCCAACAATGCTTTCCGCAGTAATGCACTACAAGATCAAAGAACTACTCTTGGTACCTCCTTTACTGATCCGTCTGGTTCGCGATCCAATTGTGGACGAATACGATTTATCTCACGTCACGAGGTTTTCATCCGGTGCTGCTCCACTCAGTCAGGAGATTTTGGAGTTGTTGCAGAGGAGGTTTCCGAATACGGGGTTTAAGCAGGGGTATGGGATGACGGAGAGTTGTTCGTGTATTCAAGGGCATCCACCCGAGTATTATGATTACAGGTACGCTCACGCTGTTGGTCAAATCGTGCCTTCGACGTCTGTAAAGATAATCAAGGAGGATGGGGAGGAAGCTGGTGTTGGCGAGCGTGGAGAGGTGCTGGCAAAGGGTCCTCAAATCACCATGGGATACCTGAACAACGAAGCAGCGACACGAGATACGTTTGATGCCGACGGATACCTGCATACCGGCGATCAAGGCTTCATCGACGCAAAAGGGCTTCTCACAATCACAGACCGCATCAAGGAGATGATAAAAGTGAATGGTCACGCTATCGCCCCCGCAGAACTCGAAGACCTGCTACTCGGCCATACAGCCATTGAAGACGTTGCTGTGCTCGGCATTACAGATGTTTAGTCAGGCGAGGCTCCAAAGGCTTTTGTGGTGCTCAAACCTGCTTCTTCTACCAACGCAAACACGAAAGAGATACAAAAGATAGGGAAAGAATTGTTGACGTACATCAAGGAAAGAAAGATCCGATACAAATGGTTAGCGGAGATTGAGTTCGTGGAGCAGATCCCCAAATCTCCTTCTGGCAAGATATTGAGAAGAGTGCTCAAAGACAGGGTCAAGGAAGCTAAAGTTGGATTTGTGGTCAAGGAGGCTGCAAAGGCAAAGTTGTAGGAGACAGAGGGCGTTCCAGGGGATCCTGACACGAACAGGGAAAACCACCTGGGGCCATTCGCATCTCGAACACAATACCGTTCTTGCAAGGCTGGACAAGGTCGACATCGAGGAGTCGTGACCAAGTCATCACACAAGCAATCAGCGGATAGCCGCTCCCTACGCCCGGACTTCCAGCGGAGACCTAGAAGGGCAAAGATATGATGCAAAGACTACGATCCAGTAGACTATGCGATCAAAGGAGGTCAATTCTGTTCTCTTGCGTATGGATGTTTTCTCAAGTGGACTGTTCTCTCTTCCATGCTCGAAGCAGGAAGGGAACACGGCATGGAGATTGAAAAGGACTAGATTGCATCAGGCGCCCGGGTTGTGCTGCTACATGTATGCTTTCTCCAGCCATGGGTTTCTCGACATTTCCTAGCGTGTAGCGACGCGGGACATGACAATGCGGTTCACGTGCGACTTTACAAGAGTTTATAAAGTCGTGTCGAATGAGTGGTCGCTGCATAGACATATCATTGCATCCCTTAGGAGGTTATTCGCACATTTGAGGGCAAACAGATGGAAACAAGGCGGTGACGATGGAGGTTGCAAGAGCTGGTAGAACTTGTTGCTCACGTTGATCTGCGTTATGTCTCATGTACATATATTCTGAACATTTGGTTTTGTTTGTTCTCGTTCGTTCCTCAAGTTCGATAAATGCAAGAAAGAAACAGGCTGTGGCCGGTTTATAGCACGGCAGCCTCGGCGCTCTGTGTTTTCCCGCTCTCTCGAGTCAAGCCTAATAATTTGCCAGCAACAGGGAACCACTCATCTTCCCATCTCCTGTCACACTCTTCCAAAGCACCCCTTCTGATGGCCAAAAGCGTCTTCGCACCTCTGCTTCCCAGCAATTCTTCGAGGAGGTTTTCCAAGCCATCGGCAGAGGAAAAGCCAAAGCCGTTCTTCCCTTCCACGACCAGCTCTTTCCAAGCTTCGAAGCGTGACCAGCCGACTACGGGAAGACCAGTGCCAAACATATCCACCACTTTCATGGGGAGGTCTACGCCTGACGATGACGTATGCAGAGAGACACCCAAGTCTGCAGAAGCAAGCAAAGAAGCATAATCTTCATTGCTCAGCCAAGCAGTTGCGATTTTGACGTATTGCAATTTCTTTTCCTCTTGCAGTTTTGCGATTTTGGAAAGGTAATATTCTTTCAGCGGTCCCTTGCCTGTGATGATGGCGAGAATTTTCGGGTAAGAGTGGTGGGTGGCCATGGACACGGTTGCGGAGTAAGCGACCAGTGCATCCAGGAGGATAGAAAAGTCTTCATCTGCAGTCCAGGAAGTAGAGCTGACAAGGAGTTTGTAGCTGCCGTGACCAAGGTGTTTGGCATAGTGTGCTGTCTCCGGGCATCTGTGCAGGAATTCGGAACGTTGGGTTTGAGTCAAGGGTTGGAATTGAGCGGCTGGTCTGTCGTGGAGGGGAGTGGCTTCCACGCCGAATCGCTGCTTGAGTACCCTTGCCATGGCGTTGGTAACGCTGAAGTGAGCATCTGCTGCGCGTGCGACATAGCGCTCGTACATTTCCGAGATCTGGACCAAGGGGTGCTTGTTTCCGAGCTTGAGTGCTAGAATGGTGTATCCAAAGTTGTGCCAGTCGATGATCAGACGCGTGTGGCGGATGAAACACATAGCCTGTGCGATTGCCAGAGTAGGAATTGACGGTGGGTTCTGGACGAGCATCCATTTTGTGGCTTTGGTGCGGTAGCCGCATGCATGCCAGACAGTTCCGATTTGCCAGAGGACCTTCAAGGGAGCGATGATGGGGAAAAGCATTTTATTGGCATTGCGAAGAGCCTCTGGCGGAGGTGCCAGAGGGATGACGGTGACATAGCGATTGTTTCTGATTTCGGGCAGAAGTTCAGATTCGAGATAGCCGATTAGACTAACGCGACCGCCGTGAGCAGCTATGCTAGCGACATGGTATTGCATGCGAGGACTTCTTCCAATATCACCAAGAACCAGAACAGTGACTGAAGCATCATTCTTGGCTCCAGGATTCTTGGCGTAGTAAGCATATCCAGAATCCTTGTTCTTCTTGTCGTCTTCAGAAAAAGAAGAGTCATTTACGGTGTCCTGGTTTTCAGGATCGTAAGGAGATGGCAGAGTAAGGATGAAGGCAGTGACCAGAGTCGACAAGGTGACAGCGATAGGCAAAAAGACGTTCCAGAACAGCGTCGACAGCCATGAGCGAGTGTGATAAGCCGCTTGTCCTCCAGCTTCGATCAGGGGAAAGTCCTCCATGTTGGCCGAGCTTTCTTTCCTTGGGTGAGTTGAAACGAAGGAAGCGAAATCACGACTCGAGACCAAAGCAGGAGCGACCAGCCTGGAATCAAGGCAAGAGCGAGCAGAATGTCGACGTCACTTTGTCGATATAAGCGGGAAGTGGGAAAAGGTGGCTGTGTTGCGCGTGGACCTTGCGCCAAGAATAGCGGACGGCGGACTATACACCAGCGGGGCGGAGAGCGGTGAGCCGCGGACGGACTCTTGGTTGATCTGGAGGCGGGACGGGATGATGGTGATGGGCGGAGGGGATCCCTGATTCAGATCAAAGTTTAGGCCAGCCCCTGAGCCCGGCATTGAGAACAACTGACAACGCCCATGACATGCGAATCGATAAGCAACAGGGAAGCTGCTTGGTCGAGACCTGTTCCTTTGTACCTACCTCAGCATAGCTCACATCTCTTACACAGCAACGCGAAGTCGCACAAAGAAGCTTGGATTGTTTATCGCGTCTGGACATGACGGCACAATAGACCAAACTTATCTTTTCGAAACTTGACCGACACACAGCAGCCGCAGCATCTTGTCTCACGACAGACGCAGTATGGCGAACGGGCGGCCACTCTCTATCATGGACGGGCCCTCATGGGCATTGAACGACAGCCCTTTCGACGACGATCAAACAACAGCCGCGCAAGCATTCGATAGCGGCCTCGACTTTGAAGAGACGGACCAATTCAACCCGAATGGCCTGGGCCAAGGCGGGCACACACGGACATACTCGTTCGCTGGGCCAAAGTCGCCGATACGCACGCCCGTGAAGCCTTCGTTCAAGGGCCACCTGCGACAGGGTTCTGGCTACGCTCTGTCGCCAGTCTCTGCTGCCTTCCCTGAGCACATTCTCGAACACCCACATGATCTCGCCCAAGGCCGTGGTCACAGCCACAGTCAGAGCACCCATAGCGTTCAGAGCATGTACAGCGCTTACAGCACACACGACCATACTCACCACCACAGCCACGACCACGACCACGCACACAATCACTCACATAGCCACTCAAACGGGCACGCGCATAGCCACAGTCACGACCACGGCCATTCGCATGCTCCGCTAGGTGCAGTATCCTCAGCAGCTTCAAAGGCCGCCTCGAGGTTTGTCGCAAAGCACATGAAGCCTCTGCTGCTCTTGCTGACCTCTACAGTCCATCATTATCTCTAGCCGAAGTCCTGACCGGCATCCTCATACCCCTACCCTATCTCCTCGCGTCCGCCGCATACTCGACCCCAAGCACCGACTTCCCTCCTCTCTCCGCTTACGCCCGCCTAAAACAAACAGTCCCAGAAGGCAAGAATATTCAAGATTACCACAATGCACATCACGCCTCGAGCTTGTTACAAGCGTGCACCCTGACTTCTGGCACCCTTCTCCTCATCGCTATACTGGCAAACATTCGCGCTTCAGAAAGAGGGCTGGACAAGCGAAAAGGCTCAAATGTTGGTCTGACGCCCCACGGGCCTTTGACCTTGCAATCGGTACTTGGCATGTTGACGAGCACACTAAGAGTCGCATTACCATACTTTGCTGCCATCCAGATTGGCGGTCTGCGAGTCGGTCTGGTACTGCTCGTCGCACTTGGCTCAAGTCTGTCTTGTTCAGACAAGCATTCGAAGTCCTTTTTTGCATCTGCATCTGCTCGCCCTCTTACTCTGGCTGCCATTGGACTTTGTATCTTGGGCGATGCATTTGGCTTGACCATCTATGCTGACGTCTACCACCTCACAACTGGCTACATCGCATTACTGACGTCCGTCTTTGTACTGCACCCGCCTTTGCCAGCGAATGGCTCATCCACCTCCCCTCTCATCGCCACTTCAACAGACACCACCACTACCTTGTACGCTGGTGCTATCCTCTCCGTCCTGACCATCGCCGCTTCCATCGTCTTCTCTATCGCCCCCTCGGTAACGCCTCTCTCCATCACCTTTTCTACCCTCTCCATGGCTATCGCTGCCGGTCTGGTCCTCTTTGCTCGACCGGCCCACCTTCGCACCAACAAGAAGACTGGTCTGGCATTGGGATGTCTTTTGACCGCCGCAACTTCATTCCTCTTCTCTCCCACCACTTGGCCTGGTACTTTCTGCAATGGTGCCATCGCTGCCTTGTCTTATGTTGGGGTCTTGTATGACACTTCCCAATCTCATGCCCATTCTCACGACCATTCTCACCTTCACGATACCGCTCATACTCACGCTCATGCTTCCGCGCATACACACTGCAACCACCATCACGGCCATCAACACCACACTCACACCGAAACATCCATCTTCACTTCCTTCCTGCTCGCCCGCTGCCGCCCGGGCTCTCTATTCCACAGCATCCTCTGCGAGCGCGACTCCCGCCGCATCGCCTACTTTACCTGCCTCAACTTTGGTTTCATGCTAGTACAGGCCTTTTACGGATGGGTCAGTGGCTCGCTGGGTCTCTTGAGCGACACGGTGCACATGTTCTTCGACTGCTTAGCTCTAGTGATTGGACTCGGCGCCGCAGTGGCCAGCAAGTGGCCCACCAGCCCTGAAATGCCTTTTGGATGGGGCAAACTCAACGTCCTCGCTGGGTTTGGAAACGGCATCTTCCTTATGCTGGTTTCTGTCGAGTTTATCTGGGAAGCAGTGGAGGGCATCATGGAAGGCACTGAGTTGCGCCATGTGGAGGAACTGCTCGTGGTCAGTACCCTTGGCTTCTTGGTGAATATGGTCGGTCTCTTTGCTTTTGGACATGCTCATCATGGTCATGACCACGGAGGTCACGATCACTCTCATGGCCATGGTAACGAAAACATGCATGGTATTTATCTGCACGTTGCGGCCGATGCTGGAGGTTCGTTGGCTGTGATCCTCAGCACTATCCTCACGCTCTGGAAACCTTGGTATCTCTGGGATCCTTTGGCTACAATCGTCATCGCCATTCTTATTTTCTTGGCTGCTGTGCCACTGGTCAAAGATTCAGGGGCCAAGCTTTTGCTGGTGATTCCTGATGAACTGGAGTATTCGCTCAAGAATGCATTGCAGGAACTCAGTGGTCTTAGAGGGGTTACTGGCTATGCAGTACCTAGATTCTGGGTCGAGGACGAGGCTGGCGATGGACATGACGACGGCCATTCACACGATCATGGACACAATCATGGACACGACCATCACGATCACAGTCATGCGCACGACCATCACCACCATGAGCATGACCACGACCACCACGAAGAACCACCCACGAAAAAAATCCTAGGCGTCATACACGTCTTTGCCGCCAGAGCAGCAGACACAGAAGACGTAAGACAAAGAGTAGAACAATATTTCCTGCAACTGAATATGCATGTTGTGGTTCAAGTCGAGCGAGAGGGAGAAGGAAGATGTTGGTGTGGCGGAGGCGTCAAGAGCGTCAAGACCGGATAGAAATCCACCCTTTTGGCGACATTTGGCATTGGGTATAGAGTGGTGCTTTTTCCACCGTTGAACAAATAGCATATAGCAAGCCTTGCATAGCGAAAAATTTGAATTTTTGAATCATCAATTAGCAAAGCAAGAGAACGTGAATCCTCTGCTTCAACCAGTGCTTTTTTCAGACAAATTGTCGTTTTTTTCTTCATCTTACATTCCTTCCTTTCTCGAGTTCAAAGGATTCCCAAAAATGCCAAATGGGTCGAACACCCACTTTTGCATGCGGAGTTTTTTTCGAGCCTCTTCCCCAACTTTTCGTGCCTGAGAAGATTTGTCTAGTCTTCCGAGTCTTGAGAAAGCCCCCGTTCTTGCACAGCTGATGTTTTACGAAGCTGGAATGGGTAATGTTGCAAAAGAATATGATGCCAAATCACAACCCTACCATTGCATGCCGGGCAGACTCGACCAGGAAATGTTGGGAGCGGGCGGGCCCCAAAAGGGCACTTCGTTTTTCATACGGGAAAGACAAAGGAGTCTCAGAGGGAGGCCACAGTTGGACAGGAAGAAGGATCCAAACACCTGAGAAGATAAAGAACAAAAGCCTTTTTGAATTTGTGGAAAAGGGCACAAGGCTAGAATTTAGGAAGAAAGAAAAAATCCCAACTGCGCCAGCCAGCCTAGAGCTCTTCACTCTCCCCAGTAATGCATAAGAGAAGATTTGGAGAATGATACGAAACAAAGGCAATCTTGCCATCTCGAAAAGACGGCCAGACGGCAAATAGAATGAACCTCGGTTCCCTCGAAGAAAATAGGCCCTCAACCCTTGTCTACCACCAACTGAAAACGTCTAGCTTACTCGCTATCGTCATTGAACGTCTCTTCCTCCTCATCTTCCTCTTCGAAATCATCCTCTTCTTCGTCCTCGTCATCCTCGTCATCAACGACATACTTAGCCTTGGGCTTGGCAGCAGCAGCTCTTCTCGAAGGTCTAGCCGCAGTCGCAACAGGAGAAGCGGAAGCCATGGTCTCATCGTCGTCGCTCAAGATATCATTAGCGAGGTCTTCATCCTCGTCTTCGCTGTCCAGAGCAGTCTTCTTGCGAGAGGCGGGTGCTTTGGCGGTGGGCTTGGCTGCAGCGGCCTTGGATTGTTTTGCTGCGTAGGCTTTGGCGGCAGGGGAGAGTGTCTTTACGGGTGCTACAGCAGGTTTCTTGGCTTTGGCGGTGGTGGATGCAGTCGGCTTTGTTGCAATCTTGGAGATGGTCTTGAGTGGTTGGGGTTTGCGAGTCGAGAGCAAGATGCTATCATCATCCATGTTTGCGTCTTCGTCGTCCGAATAGTTTGCTGCTGCTGTGGCTTGAGCGATGGGTTTCGCTGGTGTGCCCTTGGCCAGTTCAGCCCAGTCTGTGTCGTCAACGGGCTCGACACTTTCCTTTCTGGCGTGCGAGGACTTGATGCCATGGCTCGCGCCCGTGCGGTGTGTGCTGTTGCTGAGCAGAGAACGTCCTGGAGCTGTGCTGGGGATCTCCTTGACCATCTTGCTGATGTCACCGAGGTCATCATCAGACATGTCTTCGTCAGAGTCAGCAGCATATTTGACTGGCTTCTTTGCGGCAGCACGTCCACCACGAGACGCAGTAGCCGGCTGAGCTGCGGGCTTCATCTTTGCGGCATCGAACATCACGATATCTTCATCCCCCGAGTCGGATTCGATGACAGGTTTCTTCCTGGGAGCAGGCTTGGCAACAGGCTTTGCTGCGGCCTTGACTGGTGCAACTTCTTCCTCGTCATCTGTGTCCAGAGCAGTCTTAATCCTCCTCGCAGGTACCTTGGCATCTGGCTTCGTGACCATCTCGATATCCTCGTCGTCAGAATCCTCGATCTTTGTCATCTTTCTCCTCACGAGCGGCTTGGTGATTTCTGAGGGCTCAATCAGACCAGCCTTGACTGCCGGAGGAGCCTCAACAGGCTGTTGCTCGATACCGTCAACGACAGGGAAGACACCAGCGGGCTTGCTAGCGGTTGGCTTGACAAGAAAATTGTCAAGCAGACCAGTCGCCCCCTTGGACACCTTCGACCTTGCTGCTGGAGCAGTCCTGGAAGCGGCAGCTGACTTTGCGGCGGTTTTGGGTTTCTTAGAAACAACGAAGTCATCATCGTCGTCATCGTCGCTATCGTCCGACTTGCGCTTCTTGCTGTTGCCCAAAACACCGAGCTTCTGAGAAGTACGACGTCCCTTGCCCTTTGACTTCTTCGCACGTGTCGCTTCGACCTGCAGCTGAGTATGCCATTCCTCGAGAAGCTCGTCCAGATCCTTGGTCCAGAGGTCTTTGGGAGACAGCTTGATGAGTGCGTCAATCTCAGTCTCCTTGTCACCGATCTGTTTGAGCAGCTTCTCGACGCGTTCTTGTGTCAAAGACCAGATGGCCATGCCGAGAAGGTAGTCAAAGTCGTTGGCACCGGGTGCAGCATCCTCAGTGTCATCATCGTCTTCAAGAGCATCCTCCGTCTCACCTTGCTTCTTGGCATCGGCCAGCTTGGGAATAGGCTTGAAGTTGAGCTTATGGAGCTCGGCGACAAGAACAGACTTCTTCTTCTTGGACACGACAAGCTTGCCGTCTATGATCATCTGGACGAAGCGGGACTGGTTGCTCAGCTTCTCAAGCTCTTTCTGCATTTCGTTTAGAAGATACTGCTTTCTTTTCTCGTAGAATGCGAGACGGATGTGATAGAACTCTTCCATGATGTCGAGAGGAGTCTCGTACTTGTGAATTCGGCCCTGACCATCGAAAGCGACCAAGTTAGTGGTCGCCATGGTTCTGCTGAGCTTAAATTGCTCTTCCAGACCCTTGTCGAGTGCAACTTTCATACCCTTGTCGTCAAGAGTAATGACGAAGTGAACCTTCTCAGGGGTGTTGTATTCGCTGTAGTCCTTGATGAAAGAAGGCGTCTTCTCGGCTTTGATAATCTCCTCAAGGTGAGCCTTGAAGTCTTGGGTCCAGAAACGAACAGGCAGCTCGGTGACCTCGACTGTATTGGCGTCTTTGTGAACGATGGTTCCAGTAAACTTAAAACGACCGTTGCCAATGTCCTCAACTTCACCCTCCCAGCCGCGGAACCACGGCTGCATGGGCTTCATATCTTCCTTCGAGCTTCCTGCCATCCTGAGTCTGATGTTCTCAATGACATCAGCAGGGTTGTAGTTGGGAATGGATGTTGACCATCCTGTACCGATACCATCGGCACCGTTGATCAGCACCATAGGTACGATGGGTGCGTAAGTCTCCGGTTCGATCGTCTTGCCGTCATCAGTGTTGTATGTGAGAAGTGGCTCGTCGTGGGCGTTGAAGATGCGACGGGCGAAAGGAGAAAGGCGAGTGTAAATGTAACGAGCGCTGGCTGCATCGCTACCACCTTGGAGACGAGAACCAAAGTTACCGCTGGGTTCGAGTACGTTGATGTTGTTTGAGCCGACAAAGGTCTGTGCAAGACCGACGATTGTCTGCTGTAGAGACGTTTCACCGTACGCGTATGCAGTCTGACCCATGACTTGACCAGCAAGCTCAACGACCTTGATATCCTTCTTCAAGTTCCTTCGGAGGGCTGTGTACAAGATCTTGCGTTGACCAGGCTTAAAACCGTCGACTAAAGATGGAATGGAACGGAAGTTGTCGGCCATACTGAAAAGAATGAGCTCCTTGTTGATGAAGTCCTCGTAACTGATTTTTTCCTTGCCAGACATGTCCAGGAAAGTGCCAGGGACGAAGTCCCCAAGCCACTTCTTGCGATCATCGGCCTTTTTCTTGCTGAAAGCAAGGTCGATCAACTTCGTTTCGTCGTCCTTCATGGTGTGGAAGGTCTTGAGATGCTTGTCTAGATCACTGAAGTAGGTCTCGGCATCTCTTGTATCCGAAGTACCCAGACCCTTGTAGTACTTGTGCTCCCAGCCCTTGTCATGACCAGGTTCTTGTCTCCAAGCCTCATACTCGGGCATTGTGAAGAAGTCTTTCTTTGCTTTGGGGAACTTCGGATCACCCTTCCAGACCTTGACAATGGGTGTAATGAACTCAAGGAGGAAGCCTTCGATCTTGAGCAAGCTAGGAAATTGGACTTGGAGGAAGTTGATCAAAAGGCCCTTGATATGACTGCCATCGTGATCCTGATCAGTCATGATCATCAAATGACCGTAGCGAAGAGTATTCAGATTCTCTTTCGTATACTCTTTCTTGTGCTGCAGTCCCATAAACTGCTTGATATTCTGAATCTCCGCGTTCTTGGAGATTTGGTCGATGGACGCATCGCGGACGTTCAGCATCTTACCACGCAGAGGGAAGACACCAAAATGATCCTGGTTGACCACAGCTCGTCCAGCTAGAGCAAGCATGGCAGCCGAGTCACCTTCTGTCAAGATTAGAGTACATTTATGACCTTCCTTGGTACCAGCCTTGTTGGCATCCGTGAGCTTAGTATTGCTCATGCGAGTGCGACGGTTGCCATCCGACTTCTTCAAGACCTGATCGGCCTTTTGCTGGGCAAAGTGCATGATGTTGTTGACGGCTTCTGTCTTGGCGATGTCCTTGAGGAATTTGTCGCTGAGCACACACTTGCTGCCAAATTGAGAAGGTTTGGTTGTGAGTTGTTCCTTGGTTTGCGAGTTGAAAGCAGGATTGACGATCAAGCAGTTGACGAACAGGAAGATGTGGTTGCGAATTTGAGCAGGCTTGAGCGTTACACCGCCCTTGTTCTTCTTCTTGACAATCTCCAGCAGCTTGGTGGTAATCTGATCGGCAATATAACTGACGTGCGATCCTCCCGAAGTAGTGGCAATGGAGTTGACGAAAGAAACTTGTTGGAACGAGCCGTCAGAAACAGCGAAACCGATTTCCCAACGCTCGTTGGGGTTGTCGGTCAGAATGACCTGGTTGCTGACGCCTTCGTTGATCAAGCTTTCGGTCTTGATAGCCTTGGTGTACATCTCCATGTATTGCTTGAACTTGTTGATCTTGATACGGGTATCGTTCAGGAAGACCTTGACGCCTGGGCATGTACCAGCCATGTCATAAACACGACGCTTGGCCAGAGCCTCGAAGTCGTCGTCCATCTTGTCCATGTTGAACTTCGAGAAGTCGGGGTAGAAGGTAATTCTGGTATAGTCGTCGCTCTTGACCGAGGTAATCTTGGCCTTGTCCTTTTTGGTCATATTGTCGTGCCATGTCTGAGTGTACTTCTTTCCCTGTTTTGAGTCGACCGTCTCGAGGATGAATTTTGTACTGAAGACGTTACAAAGCTTTGCACCGTAACCGTTTCTTCCACCAGTGACCTTTTGCTCATCATCGTCGTAGTTGGAGGAAGTCAGGAGGTGGCCGAAGATCATCTCGGGGATGTAGATGCCCTCCTTCTCGTGCATCTCGACCGGGATACCGCGGCCGTTGTTGCGCACTGAGATCTCGCCCTTCTCGCGATCAATCCAGACCTTGATCTCGTTCATGTTCTTGTCGCGTTGCTTGTTGTCGGCAGCGTTGACCAGGATTTCGTCGAAAATCTTGTACAGACCAGGTACGTAGCTGATTTCGCGGTTCTCGATGGCTTCGTTCTCGGAGTTGTAGACCCACATGGGTTTCTCGAGGCGTTCGACGGAGCCGATGTATGTGTCGGGGCGCTTGATGATGTGCTCGAGCTGGGTGAGTTTCTGGTATTGCGAAGTGGCGCTGCCCTTCTTGGGCTTGGGCTGAACCATTTGGTCTTCAGCCATGTCTGCACCTTCAGCTGTGAAGCTCTCGTTGTCAATTTCTTGTAGGGGCTTTGTAGCCTTCTTCGCTGGTGCTTTCTTGGGGGCGGCCTTCTTGGGAGGAGTGTCGGCGAGCAGGCTGTCGTCGCCGTTGTCGAAGTGGATGTCGGCGTCCGAGTTCTCGTCGTCACTTATCGGCGTCGGAGGTTTCTTTGAGGCTGCCTTCTTGGCTGTGGTTGTGGTGGTCTTGAGGGTGGTCTGCTTCTTGGGAGCTGCCTTGGGTTTGGCTGCAGCTGGAGCCTTCTTTGCGGGAGCCTTCTTCTGTGACTGCTGTAAGAAAGTGACGCATGACGGAGAAGGCAGGAGACAATAGTTACAGCAGGAGCCTTCTTGGGAAGCTCAAAGTCACTGCTGGCATCCATGGCAAAGTCGGACTCTGCCATTGAGTCGTCCATTGTTGCGCCGGCTATTGGGCTTTTGTGATTTACAGTATTCAGTCAACAACAGTCATGGATGGGCGGAGTGAGTGACAGTATCTTCACTCTGGTCGTCGGGGATCGCTGGGCGTATGTGTCGTTAGTTGAACAGAAAGAAAAGGACTCGAAGGGGCAATCACAGGAATTGCATGTGCAAGCTGCTGCTAACGCCAAACTGTTTTGTTTACTCCACACCAAACATCCCTCCCTCCCTGCAAACCGCTGCAGCCTTGGCATCATCTTTCACGACCATCACACGAAAAGTCGCGTCGTCATCATCAGACATACAATCATTGAATACTGTAAAAAAAGAAAGATGATTCCATCTGTCTCTGAAGCGCTGCTTGTATGGTCGAGTTCTGTTCCTTATACAAGCTGAAGGACTTTATGTGATATCTGCTCGTGGCGACATCCTCCGACCCGTCCATGAGAAGTTCGACCTCTGTCCTTTAGCATTACTGAGTGTAGCAATAGTTCTGTATGACAGCTCGATCAAACTCAAGTATTACCACACTTCGAGGCCGAGATCCAGTGCGATACCGTCAGGTCTCCTCGGTCCAGTGTGATGTCGTCGGGTGATGCGCTTGCCTCCTCGATCCTACCAGTCGGGAGAGTGGTAGACGTAATGATGTGGAGATACGATTAGAGGTGACTTTAGGTGTACCATGAAAATGGTGTCGTCTGAGTCGTTGGTCCAGTTCGAGGCTTGGGGTATGCGTCGCTCAAGTCTCTGTCAAGTCGTTGCAGAAGCTAGGCAGTAGTCTGCTATTTCTCTCGACAGGGACGGCAGTCTTCTGCATGTCATAAATTGGAGTCATGTTTCTTTCAACAGATGACCCCATCATTCTCCACCTCAACCTTGACTTCCGTCTCTTCACCACCTTTATTCTTCCTCCTCTTCTCATTCCTCCTCCTCCTCTTCTCCGCCCTCTCCTTCTCCTCAACCTCCTTCGCAACCTCCAACCTCGTCCCCAAATCCACAGTCTCTTTCGCCTTTTCCTCTTCTCTCTTCCTCTTCAGATACTCCAATCTCTCCACCACATCCTCTAGCGTAGCCCTCTTGACCTCTCCACTCTGCCCCGTCGCATACAAATGCTGCTTACTGTTCAAATGCTCCACAAACTGCAAATTGTCTTTAAACGTCAAGTCACAAGCATCGCAATAGAATCCCGCTCCCTTGCCGCGTTTACCCACCGCCGAGCCAGCAGGCACGAGCATCGTTTTGCCAATCTGAGCAGAGACATCCAGCCGCGAGCGACGGGCTTCGGTGTCGCGAGCATCTTCCGGGGTGGAGGCGCGGGCGTGGTATTTTTTGCCTGCGGCCGCGGCTTCGTATCTGGCTTTTCCTTCGTCTTTGAGGCGTTGTTCGCGCTCGACGGCTTTTTGGGCATATTCTTCGCGGTCCCAGGTTTTGCGGAATGAGGTGTCGCTGGCGGGGGCGCCGCCGTAGGCGCCTTTGCGGTCGGCCATGATGTTGTGTTGTGGATGGGTTGAGTTCTCGAAGGGGTTTGGTGAATGCGCTCGCGAGGATGAGAGAGTTGAAAGGTTTGTGGTTTCGCAATTGATGGTGGTTTGAAAGTGACGAAAGTTGTGGCGCTGTGACTTCTGGAAGGTGGAGAAGGTGTGGGGAAGCTCGAGGACAGACAGGGTCGCCAACTTGATCGCAGACCGCAAGGCTTGCACCTTGAATTCTTATCATTTGTTTGGTATAGAGAAGAGCAGCTAAAAGTGGAGCTTCCGTGGCTGTCGGTACAGGGAGTAAGATCACTTTCACTGTATTGTTGACCGCGATTATCAGATCAATTTTGAAAGAAGCATTATAAAGTATCACGAGAAGGCGATTGAGGCCAATAGACATGGACGATGGTGAATGCGAACAGGCCAGTAATCGTGCATTACTCCCATGCTTTGTCAATGAGGTGTTGCCGCCACTCCGGTGTGTCAACAACAACAGAATCCTCCTAGTATCTGTCATAACCACCTCTTCCACGGCCACTTCCTCTTCCTCCTCGGCCGCGATATCCTCCGCCATTGTTATCTCTGCCGCCATTGTAGCCGCCTCCTCCATAACCTCCTCCATTGTTGTAGCCACCGCCACCATTGTTATTGTTGTAGCCTCCGCCGTAACCACCTTGGTGATGTTGAGGGGGAGGAGCAGCCATACCAGGCATCCAGCCTGGAGGAGGAGGTGGAGGCAGACCACCGCCACCGTTCCTGCCAAAGTGTGCTGCAGCTTGAGCGGCAAGTGCGGGTGGGAGGTTCTGGAAACCGCCAGGAGGCGGTGGTGCGCCGTAGCCATTGCCACCGTTTCCACGACCATAGCCATCATTGCGAGGACCATTGTGAGATCCACCATTGCCTCCACCTCTGCCACCTCTGTAGCCACCGTTGTTCCCTGCATAGCCATTGTTATTGTAGCCATTGCCGCCACCAGCATTATAGTCGATACGGCCACGACCGCCTTGATCGTATAGCGGCGCACCACCGAACTGTCTGCCAGACTTCTGTGACTTTTGCCTTGTTGCCTCGATATCGCTGTAGTCGAGAACAGGGTTAGGAGGTATTAAGCCGGGCAATAGCATGCTCTTGTGGACGGTATTGGTTGGAGGCATAACGTAGTGAACGGCGATACTTTGATCGTCGTCAACGTCCTGGAACGGTGTAGCTCCAGGGAGAGGGAAGGAGAGCGAAGATGAGGGAAGGTATTCGTCGTTCTTCTCGACCTTGCCAGCCAGACCCTCGGACACTTGAGGATTCAAGCTGAAGTCTGCGGCATTGGCCTTCTTGGAGTAGAAGTTAGTAGCCACGTCTTCGTATAGAGGATGCTTTGTGCTGAAAAGCAGCGCGTCGTGTCCGAAAGCATTGCGTGACTTTTCATCTTCAGTAAGCAAGGGATACTTCGTGGCCATGGCATCGAGCAAGCGCTTTGAATCGATGAACGGCAACAGGGCAATACCCTGCCAAGCAAACTTCTTGCCGTTGAGATCTACCACAAAGTCTTCGGGGTAGAAATCCTTAATGTCAGAGTCTTCGTCAGTCATGAGAGGGTGGAAGACGGCAGGCAGAACGTGGTTACTGCGGGCCGGCATGACACCCATAAGTTGTTCGTAAGGTCTGAAAGGCTTGCCCTTCTTGAAGTCGAGGTTCATCTTCTCAAGATCAACAAAGTCGGCTGCAAAAGGAGCATAGTGGTGAGGGTAGTACCAGGTCCAACTGGCACATCCCTGGAAATAGTAGAGCAGAACCCAAGCCAGACCCTCGACGTAGTCACGGCCGACTTGGTGGCGGAAGTCAATATCGCCAGCTGGGACGTGGAACTTCTGCTCGTAGTAACGATCGGCATAACCAGGCTCCCAGAGCATGACAGTATCCTCAGCGGGAGCATCAGGATCCTTAGCAGGACCATTTTGAGCCGGATCAGGCGAGTTGCGGCCTGGCGTGCCAGCATCGTTGTCTTCCTCGTTCTTACGCTTGCCAAGAACAGAAGCGGGGGATGTCTCTGTTGAGGCACCAACGCCGCTCATTAGTTGATCAACAGCATCCTTCTGGGATTCGGCAGGAGTTCCGTTCTTCTGAGCCAACAGCTTCTCTTTCAAGACAGCTGCAGCACTCTTGTTGGCAACATTGGCTTTGTTGACGACCATATCGTGGGTCATGTAACGAGGGTCTGATCCAGTCTGAGCAGAACCAGGAGCAAACGTAGGCAAAGCGTTGATGTCAGGAACCATCTCGCCACGCTTGCGGCTGCCCATAAACTGACCAGCAGGAGTAGAAGGAGCAGCGTCTCCCTGATCAGGGCCACCAGATCTGCGAGCGCGCTTGTTTGCCTGTTGAGCTCTACGCTTGGCGGCCGCATCCTTGCGCTCTTCAACCTCCTTCCTGCGCTTGAAAATGGCATCTTCCTGCTTGGCGAGACCTTCGAGAATGAGCTGTGCACGGGCGAGATCGACGTGGCCATCTTTGGTGACATAGCCACCCATTGTAGGGATGTTGTCTTTCCAGATGGCGATCAGAGTATCGATACCCTGTTCACGAATATCTAGAGAAGGCAAATGGGGCAAGAAATCGTTACCGACGAAGAAACACATAAAGACCCAGTCATCCAGGGCGCGTTCGAGGTCGAATTTGAAGGGCTGGTTGGGGACGCTCATCTCGACAGCCAGGTACTCGCGCAGCACAGCAACATGCAGCCAGATGAAAGGCTTCAATGGAGCACCACCCTTCTTCTCACCAAAGTCGCCCTCCTTCTTAGCGGGAACACCCTTACACTCAGCGGCCATGTGCCCAGGCTGATTGCAAATGCGACAGCATCCAGGCTTTGTGTCGTTGGCGAAGACGTCTTCACGCAGAATGCGGAAATGCGGTTCGTGAGTGGCCAGACCCAGCATGATCAAATCAGCGTCCAGACCGTACATGACGTGGCGAGTATTGGGATTGTGTTGGGGCGAGTTTCTTTGCGAGCGCACAAATTGCATGATCTTGTGCTCTCCCTCTCCGGGAACAGTTGCGTCAGAGATGATGACCTTCAGCTTCTCCCAGGCAGGGTCGGTGTTGAGCTTGTAGGCACACCAGTAGCGCAAACTGGCAGCCAGGATGTCCATGAAGGGAGTTCCGGGAGTAATGGCGTTACTGTCCCAGGTCTTCTTTGGCTTGCCGTCTCCACCCTCGGGCTCCTTGCCTTGAGAACGGAGCATCTTGAAGAATTCCTCCTTTTCCTTGTCCTTCTCAGCAGCCTCCTGGGCGGCGCGGAAACGTCTTGACCGTTGTTGATTCATCTTCGCTCTAGGGGCGACACCATCGACGGCGATCATGAGAAGCTTGCGGGGTCTGACCATGTTGACGACGCGCTCGGTGTACTCGAAGACGGCCAACATCATGTCCTCCTCGGTCTCGGGAGCAGGACGGTCTTCGGGATGAGAACAAGGATGGACGATACCGTTCATGTCGAGGTACAGGTTGTCGAACTCTTCGCCATTAGGATTCGGCTTGCGGGCGTCGATGGGAATCTTTTCACCGTCGACATCTATAGGGTGGTCCTCGATGACAGGCGAGATGATCTTGGGGTACTTTTGCGACAGCCATCTGAACAAGGCGGGGACACCCATGCTGGCGTCCGGGTCGAGAGTAGTGTTTCTGGATTGGTGTTGACGATCTTTAGACGATGCTCATGGGCAGTGGCAGGTTTGACGATCTGAACGTAACTATTGTTCCAGAACCGGGAAAGAAACAGGTCGAGTTTGCAGACGCGACCGCGATGAAGCGAAAAATAGAGGCGACAGAAGCGTGGGCAGGCGCACAAATGGACAAAGTCTGCTGGAAGAAGCAGAGACTTGAGCTCATAGACTCGCGCCAGTAACGATCGCCCGCCGGACTTATCGAATCATGCTCCGAGCTTGCCTCTTGAACTGACTCGACTCATCATGGTCGTATCGATACACGAGTCATGCGGGAGGCCGAATAGGAGCTGTCCTTTGGGAAACATGATGGTTGTTTTTGGTGACTTCTACTTCCAGAGTCGTGATTTGTACTTTTGAATAGATGGCGTGAAAGACACTCGACAATGTTGAAGGCACCAATCAAACAAACGGCCGGGGACACAATCGCAACTCTGTCCTCGCGCCTGTCATCGGCCACTCTCCTCGAAGACAGACGCGCCGCCATTCTCGGTCTCCGCTCTTTTGCTAAGAAATATCCTGCCTCGGTCGCCAGTGGCTCTCTGCGCGACTTGATCGCCGTTCTTCGCACCGATGGCCTGGGCCTGACAAAAGATGGAGAGGGAGACGTCGATACTGTCCGTCTGGTGCTCGAGACGCTTCTCATGCTGTTCGAGCCCGATCGTGAGAGTCCCGAGGCCAGCGAAGACATAGCCCTGTGGCTGGCCGACGAGTTCAGTCAGGTATGCCATGATCCATACCACACATTGCTTGCGCGAGACTGAGCTAAGTCCTAGCGTCAAGACAACATCACCATTCTGCTAGACTTGCTCGATCAACCTGACTACTATGCTCGTATCTACTCGATCCAACTCCTTACCGCCATCTCGACTTCCAGACCCGAACGAACCCAGGAGTGTATTCTCCAAGCCCCGCTTGGAACAGCCAGACTGGTCGGTGTTCTGGACGACGGAAGAGACGCTGTGCGAAACGCTGCCCTCCTGCTCCTAGTCGATCTGACCAACGTCTCGCAAACAGAGTTGCAGAAGCTCATTGCCTTTGAAGATGCTTTTCAGCGCACCTTCAACCTCATCCAATCTGAGGGTGGACTATCCGAAGGAGGCATAGTCGCCCAAGACTGTCTCTCATTGCTTGCCAACCTCATTCGACACAGCCACTCCAACCAGGCCCTGTTCCGCGAGTCTGGCTGTATCCCACGTTTGATTGAGCTGGTAAAGCAAGTTTCAACTCCACCTGAGGAAGAGAACGACTTTGGCCGGAGCGATCGAGAAAAGAATGCTTGGGGTCTGCTCGCTGTCTTGCGTCTCTTCCTCGAGCGAGGCGAATTGGGCACCAAGCAGAACCAAGATGTCTTCTGGCGTAGTGGCGTGCTACACCTCGTCTTGACATTAGCTTTTGACGAAAGAGCCGCCCCTCACATTCGCATGAATGCTCTGAAGACTTGCGCTGATGCCATCATCTTCAACGCTCCCTTGCAAGAAGCTTTTGCTTCATTCCAAGTGCCTGTTACTTCAGAAGCTCCTGCTCCTGTCAATGGCGTTGCGACTAAGCCTCAAGCTAAGATCATGTATGTCATTGAGGCCCTGCTCAATCTTGTACTCTCCGCTTCGCCCTCGCGCACTCTGGACCTGCGGTCTGCTGGTTGTTCTCTCATCAAGGCTTACTTCCAGGGTCACGATCGCATCAAACTTCATTTCCTCCAGAGAGCTATTGCAGGCTACACCGAGGGCGAGGAAGAGGATATAAACATTCTTAGCACCCTTTTGAACGGCCCTCAGCTCGGGCCCGCCACTCCCGACCCACCCCGCTTCGCCTTTGCTAGCGACATCACATGCCAGCTCCTGTTCAATCTGCAAGATGCCAAATCTATGCTCATGGGTGTTTCTGAAGGCGATGCCGACAAGGGCGAAGATGTCATTACAGCTATCCAAACTCTGTCTGGCCATCTCCTTTCGTCTCTACGAAACGATTTTGACCCTCAGCTCTCCATCTCTTATCTCAATCTACTCATCACATTCCTTTTTGACGAACCCGCTGCTGTCAACGACTGTCTGGCAGAAGGCTCCTCTCTTATGGGAGTCTTGCTTGACAATGCTCTCCTCACTGCTAACTCGCAAGTTGCTGCAGACCCCATCAAGTCTTTGCTACCTGGCCTCTCCGCTATTCTGCTTGGAACAATTTACGAGTTCAGTACCAAAGACAGTCCCATCCCCCGACGCACGTTATATCCCCTTCTGATTTCCAAACTTGGCCGCCAAAAGTACTTCGATGCTCTGATGCAATTCCGTCAGAACCCTATCATCCGCGACTCTGAGTTCATCACATCCGAGATTGAGGGTGCTGCTATCTTATTTGATGACGAGTTCGTCGACTGGTTCAAAGATGAGTACGGTAGGCTCAAGCGCGTAATTGATCGTGAACCTGGAATTGAGGTTGTTCGTCCTTCAGATGTCGGCGTGGATCGCGATGTCCTAGACGACTTACGAGAAAAGATCAAAACTCGGGATGAGAAGCTGCAGCAGAAAGAGCAGGATGATCTGGCCGCTAAGCAAAAGTCAGATCAAGCCGAAGCGGATTACCGACATCAATTACAAAGCTTGCAATCCTCACAGCGCTCGATGGAAGCTGAAGTAGAGCGCATCAAGCGTATCAACGAAGCTCTGCAGCGTGATCATGATGTTGAGATCCAGCGGGTGTCTGGAGAACTGCGTAGTCAGCTCGCGCAATTCCAACTCGAGAGTCGCAACAACCTACAGACACTTCGCGATCAGCACAAACAGGAGTTGGAACGTCTGAAGGGTCAACACGGAGCAACTGTAGCAAGCGAACGTTCGCTATGGGAAGACAAGGCACGAAAGGCTGCTGAACAAGCCACTCGCGATCAACGAGCTGCTGTCGACAAGGCTGCAGAAGAGCACCGTAAAGCAACGGAGCAAAATGCAGAAGAACAACGCATGCGCGCAGATCAAGTCGCTTCTGAGCATCGTAAAGCCCTTGACGACCTTACTGTTACTGTTCAACAGAAGGATAAAACTATCAAGGATCATGAGACCACCATCTCAGATCACGCCCGTAGCGAAAAGATCCTCAAGCAGGAACACTCCGCCACGACAGCCACGCTTGAGAAACTCCGCGCTGAGTTCGACTCGAGCAAATCTGACAAGGCCAAGCTTGAGAAGGAGTTGGAAACAACAAAGAATCTGCAGAAAGATCTCCAACAAGTCAACACAAAAGCCATGGCTCGTGTCAAGACACTCGAGGACGAAGCCAAAACTCGGGAAACCAAGATCCAAGCTCTCACCTCGGAGGTCTCTTCGCTGCAAGCAGAAATTGACAACAAGCAACAGAAAATCTCCGAGCTGGAGCAAGAAGTATCCGGCCTTAAGCTCGAACTCAAAGGCGAAAGGGAGGGGTACAATGATCTGGAGACCGAACTTAACGATCTCAAGACCACACACCGTAAACTTGAGACCTCGAACAAGGAACTTGAAGCACAGATCTCCGAACACAAGTCGAAGCCCGCATCTCCTGATAACTCAGACAAGCTCAGAGCACTGGAGAAGGAATTGGCAGACACGAAGAAGAAACTCGAGACAGCTTCCTCGAACCCAAAGAACAAAAAGACTTCTGATGATGCCACCAAGAAAGTCGAAAAGGAATTGGAGGCACAGAAGAAGGAAGTTGAAAAGGAGAAGGCAGAAGCCAGTAAGGCGAGAACAGAACTCGAGGATATGTTGATGGTACTCGCGGATCTTGAAGACAAGGCCAAGGGATATAGGGAGAAGCTAAGGAAGCATGGAGAGGAGGTCAGCGACGATGAAGATGAGGATGACGATGATGATGAGGACGATGAGGAAGAGGAAGAGGAGTAGTATTAGCATTCCATATGCATTCGTCTTCTGTCTCCGATGCTTGATTGTGACTTGGTGACAGAATTTATGCTGTCATTGTATTCAGACACATACGTGCATCGGTTCTCATCAGCTGATGACCTGACTAAACCAAAACCTGTTCTTTCTATGGTCGTTAGATGATCTTTAGGCAAGAACGATTTCGTTCTCTGGCGTTGTTGAATGGAGATGCGCCAGGGCTTGGCATTGTACAAGGCTGCGACTGCCTCGTTGCAAACGGCAGCCATCTACTTTCCAGACTTCCAACTATGACCATAATATCTCAATATCAGTCCGCCATCACACATTACCATCATCGCATCCCTCTGTCTAGTCTTTGTCCACACCATCGCTGTCAGACTGAAATTGGGTCTTACAACGTGTGAACCATGACTACACTCCACATCATCACTGTTTGCGACCAGACAATGCCTTCACAGGAACCCTATTGCGGCATACCGTTATGCGACGATTTAGTACAAATACTCTATCGACCAATGATACAGCTCGGACTGTCGATGGGAATTATGGCTACTCGAAGTTCTTTCAACAACAAATCACGAAGCAAATTCCGCGAGTCGTGATTCTTTGTGCCATACGCTGCCGCATCCGGTCAGATACACCTTGACATAACGGTCGCAATTCTTCCATTGCTCGAGTGCTTGATACCAGAAATTTTATCATACCATACCCTGAAATTCTCCTAAACGACCAAACACAGATCTCAACATGGACGACGCAGATGTCAACATGGGTGGCATCGACCCAGCAAGACCACTTCTCCCATATGGAATTCCATATCCTCCAGCGCTGCCGGATAAGCTCAGGTGGCAGGACGGTGAGGGTGAAATTGATCCGGATTGGCGCAGACACGCAAAGTACTTCGGGGCTAGAGACAATGTTCGGGGTGATGGCTTCGACATCCGATCTTGCCATCCCAATCTCAAAGGCAACGGCAGCTCTACAGGTAGTTGGGAAGTGGATTATCGGCTTGGACCCCCGAGCAACGGGGTAGTATGGAACGACGTAATCGCCAAGTGGGGATTGCAAGTTTTGGACGCAGCTGGCTTTTTGGATCTCGATTTTGGCCTTCCGCATTCGTCCCAAGAACCTCGAGGGCGGTACTTCCTCAAGAGGCCTGAGGTCTGGAAAGATGAAACACTTCATCCAGTATTCAGGCGGGACATGTGGAGGGATGGCTTACTCGATAGGGAGTGGTCCAGTATGAAGCCGGCATTCCTCTTGGCGAGTGCCTTGCTTGATGATCCTTCCACAATGTGTCTCTTCTATGCTGTGGCAACACCTTCATGCCATGTGTATCTTTCAGATCCAACGCTGCCGTTCTGCCGAAGGCTCCAAGTCCCGGATTTCTTGACCGAAGCACAGCAGGCGTCTACTTTCCAGAAGATCTGCGATATGCGACAACGGACTTACTTTTACTGGGAATCTCCTGCGAACTTGGCACGGCTCGGTGCCGGCGCTGCCACTGGTGCTACCCACCCTATCAACGATATCCATAGCTTGTGGGTATTCCAGCAGACTTTCGTGTCGTCATTGCGAACTTTGTAAGCTTTTACTGACAGCATTGACAGGTGGGCCTCTCATATCGGCTTTGCGCGTAGCCATTGTTCCGCCTTAATGTCATGGCAAGAAAATGGTTCGGCCAATGGTTACTCTGACTCCTTCCAACGCTTGCTTAACACCGCTGGCGTACCCGCAAGCCACGTACCAGAGGGTTTTGCAAATGATCTCAATTCAGCAGCTCTGCGCTCCTATCTGACCTTGGCAGACACCATCGTCCACGAATTCGCCCATGCCTTTAGTCTTGCGTACTTTGACAAGGTGCTAGGCCTCTCCATACCCGCCGAGCCCTTTGTAGGGCATGAACGCACCATGGAGCTTGGTTTCGCGACCATGCGACATATATTCGGTGGTGTCGCCTCTGCCAGCAACTTCGATCCTCCTGCAGGGGCGCCGCCGAACACATTACAAGAAATCGCCGCCTACGTACCTTTCGGCATCACCTTCAGAGACAAGTGGCTCCCGTGGGCTGAACCAGGGACACACGGTAAACACAAGCATTATCTCGACGAGGGCAAAGATGCGGATTTTGCGGAGCCGATCTGGACCTATCCGTTGCCGCAAAGGCAGATATTCGATTACTTTACGAGGGAAATGTGGGAGAAGAAGGTGCCCAGGTATGGGCTCGACGCTCTCAAGTATGTCAGAATACCCGAGTGGGCGAGTGTCGAAATGCCGGGCCCTGATCCTCAGAAACCCTGGATCAAGTCTACCCTGAGATAAATCCGATCCAGACGGCGGCGAGGACATTGAGATCAGCAGCGAAGATGTCGACTGTGCTCGATAACTGGAGAAGCAGTGCGCGCGTTTGTTGCCGCTGATGGGACACTATGTCTTTCGGACTCTGAGATTCGTGGCTTGCCACGCTTCCGCGAGAGCAGAGATTGGAGGGTTTCAATGATCTCTGAGCGAAGGGCGTGTGGTACAGGAAGAGCAACAACTGGTCCTTGTCACATCTGCTCTGCACTCGGTATCATACAAGAATAGTCTGTTGCTAGCTAGAAAGGGTGGAGCTTCCAAAGACTTGTCACTTCCATGTCAACATTCGTATTAGTTTATCAACAACGTCAACCCTGTTTTTGTCTTGTCTACGACACAATCCAAGTCGACGAAAGGAAAACCAAGACCTGTTCGCGTATGGTTATAGAAGTCTTCTTTGGAGAAAATAATGGTGTACAATCACCACC